AAGGAACCGTCAGGATGCATGGGTGTGTGTGCCCGATGGGGGAGGGTCTTTGCTGTAGTCGTGTGTCGATTGAATGAGAGAACGAGAAGGTGTGTTTTGATCATCTTAAAGTAAGAAAAACATTTATAGTCGTCTGTAATTAGTTTGAAATGTGAAATTTTCTTCCTTTTAAGGTGGTTTTTACACGGGTCTGAATTTTCTACTGTAGTTCTAACATCACATTATGCAAGCTTATGTGAACTATAAAAATTTCCTGTAAGTTCTATTTTGGTGAATATGAACTAATCTGTTGCAGGGTTTGTATCCTAACTTTTCTTGCATGTCACTGCCATTGAAACTTGCATGAACAGCACTAACTGCCTTCTTTCTCTTCCCCCTGACTTGCTCCAAGGCTGCCAGACAGATCAAGGATAGGTATGGTATACAAACCTACATTTGTATTTAAGTATCGATACTGAAGTCAGAAATGAAATTCAAAAATGGCTGGTTATTAGAATGTTGTTGGTTGAAATAAAAATACCTAATGGCTGAATATTTAAAAAAAAATTCTCTGTATATATTCCTGGAGTAATCAATTTATCAGCATGATTTTTTAATAACATAGCTGTGGAAAATTATATACTTCCCAAAGAATTTCATTTCTGGTATAATATAGTTAGTTTTAGTTTTAGTACGGTTCTTAATTAGCTGTACTAGTGTATCATAACCATTTTGAATAATTTGAAATATGTGTATATTCCTGGAATGCAGTATTTTTGTTCTTAATTCTAAATACGAGTGTCTTATTTTCTGAGAAGTCACACCGTTTTGAATACTCCTTAAGAGCTAAAGCTCTCCTCCTTCACTGCCCTCCTTAACACCTTTGCATTCTCATTCCATCCTGTTCCTGGTGCCATCTCTACCTTCTTCTAATGCCACTCCTACCTAGTTTATACCAAGAGAACATTTACATAGTGAAAGGTTTTGCCTTAAAAGATCCTTCTCATTGGTTGAGGCAGGATTAAGAAAGAGGATTTATTATTTGCTGTAACAAACACCTCACAGGGCTAAAGGAACTGCTAGCAACATTGAGAATGGGTGACAACAGAAGGGATGGATTTGGTCTGCCTGGCTAGTTGCTGACACTTGACTGTAGTGATAATTAAGGTTTCTTCGTCTGGGGACATGAGCTTCTCTGAAAGGTGCAGTTCCTCAGTGCACCACTCTGAATCCTAGATTAATTTATTCAGCAGGTAATTCAAAATGATTCCTTATGGATTGGGTGGAAACCAGTGTCTTGTTAATCTTGGCTGAAGCTTTGAGTCTAAATCTCCTTGTATCTCATCGTCTTTTATTTGATTAGAGGC